GAAAGAAAATAAATACAAATATATAAATATAAACACATATATCTCTCTCAAGTGCTTAAACTAGTGCCGTTCAATAGAACATTCTGAGATGATGGAAATGGTCTGTATCTGCATTGTACAATATAGTAGTCACCAGACTAACAGGGCAATTAGACACCTGAATGTGGCTAGTGCAGCTGAGGAACTGAATTTTCTTTAAAAAAAAAAAAAAATGTTCTTAGCAGAAGCAGGTTCTTGTGCCTTTCCTTTCCTTGGTTACTCAAAAAATGGAGCTGCTGCTGCTACCAGAGGAACCAGGGGAGCAGGTTAGATGGGGGCAGAAGTGCCCATCACATAACATTCTCAGCAATATCTCTAGCCTTTTCCATCACCTTCCCTCCTTGACCAGTCAGGACCTCATTAGGAAATTTGCCCCCCTCTTCTCCCCACCCTGAAACATAATCACATCTTTTTGAACCAGTTAGTAATTATGGAAGATAATCTTGAAAGAGCCCAGATGCTGCCATCCATTTATGCTTTATTGAGGAGGATCTTGCAAACATGCAGCATCTAGGCACTTTCTTTGTGCTGTCTCAGCATCGTAGTTGCTGATGGAAGCACGAATGCTCATTAGCATTTTAAGAGATTTTAATAAAAATTGTTAGTTTGACAATAGACATGGGACAGGTTTAATCAGGAATACCACATTTTAATCTCTGGTGCTAATTCAATCCTTGCTTCAATAAAAGAATAATTCTCTGACCAGAAACAGGGAAATGTAGAAACTGTGCCTGGGAAACAGTGAGAATTTTGTAGTCCTAGCTTTATCCCCTGCGTTTTCATTGCTCTTTGTCTGCAGGTCTCTCAGGGCACTGGGAATGCTTTGCTTTATGTTTCACAATAGACACTTCACATTTGCCAGGGATCTGTCCAGGGATCTTGGTGAATACCCAGCTTTTCTCGGACCCTTGGAGCACCAAGCTTCATTACTGGGAGGTCAAGTGAACTTAATCACTGGCTAGCGCGGATTCCTGCCTTAGCAACATGGCTCCCTTTCACGGGTCATCAAAGTCCTTTGTCACCATCAGAACCCTAGAGACCATTTCTTGGAATGTAGAGGTTGCTCGGAAAGGTTTTACGCGTGCACGTATGTCTCCTCATAAGACTGCAAACTTCTGGGCGGTAGCGATCATCGTGTCCCTTCATCTTTATATCCTCTAACAGCCCAGCATCGGTTATTGCTGAGGGAGGAAGGGAGAGCTGTTCCTGCATCAACTCATGTCCCTGTCTGTTCAGCTGCACTGTCACGAAATGATTCTCCTTCATGTTTTTAAATAAAGGAACATTATTTGGATAGGTAATTAGATAGGTCACTCCTGTTAACTCTATATAGGTCTTTGGTTTTGTTGTTTTGTTTTTTGGTAAATGCTTGAGGTTCTATACTTTAAAAAAACAATTCAATTTGAGAGTTTTGAAGAATGCTTTTCTTGCCATCATTAGTTTGCTAAGAAACCTGCACTTCCTGGTGATTTAGTGACACGTTTGTCAGGTACACGTGAAAGTAGCCTTTCAGTTGGCCCCCACCACGTGCTGCATCCTTCCCTGAGGCTCAGGCTTCAGCCCGGGTCCTGCTCTCTTTTAGTTGCCAGGGAACCAGTTCCCACACCTCCTCTGTCTCCTGGTCTCCTTCCTTGCTGCCTGTGAATCCCAGCACACACTGTGCTTGTAATTTCTGGGCCGTACAGGGAATCGGGAAAGGTCGGAGTAGGGGTTTAATCAAAACAGACATTGGAAAAGTTACAGTGGTTCACAGGAACTCAATTAGTAGATTACTCCGAAGGGTCACCCATCCATGTGAAAATGTATATGGAGGTAAAAATGCCTTCATTTTAGTCCCTTCCAAGACTTCCTTCTTAGAGAGTCCTTGAGTTAGACAGAACACATCAGCCTGCAGTCAACTAAAGTTTACTCAAATTAGCTCAAGAAAGGGACTTGTGAGAAGAATGTTACCTGCTTCCAGGAGAGCTAAGCAAGCAGGCCTGGGGGAGGGCAGGGACAAAGGCAGGTCTTAGGACGTCAGCAGTGGGCCTGTGTACTGGACATTTCCCTAGGTTCTGAGTGTTGAGAAGAGAGACGGTTCCCTGCCCAGCATCCTGACTCAACCAGCTGCGGCTGGAGGGTGTGGGGCTGCCCCATTCTGGGCTGTGAAATTTAGACATGCAGCTAAGCTAGTTACTATCCACTGTTGTCTCCAGGTATTATAATCTACCTCCCCCATCACTAGGGGTGAGCAGTGATCAAAAGGGATCTTTCCATTTATTTTTTGAGATAGAACTTTCTCCAGGATGACATTTTTCCTGTCTTTATTCCATTAAGAACTTGGCTGGTATGAATTTAATTTGGATCTCTTATTCCCATGACTGGCAATTTTCAGTCTAGGAAGGGTTAGGTTAGAAGAGGAACAGATTTGAAATGAATTATTTAGAAAAAGATCTCTTACAGCCATTGTACATTCAACAATTCGAAAACATTTCTCAGCCATTGGACTCAAGGCTTTATGCTAGATGTTTTAAAGAAAAATATACTAATAACATACTGAGTTAGTGTTACATGTCAGTGAGTTTACATGTTAAATGAGTTTACATGTAGGAGCTAATTTTAATTTTCTTGCACATCTTTGAACTAGGTAGGTCTTGTGACTATCCCTATATTCAGAGCAGAAAATTAAGACTTGGGAAGTTTAAGCAACTTAAAAAAATATATATAGACAGCGGGGTGGGGGGGCACCTGGGTGGCTCAGTTGGTTAAGCATCCGACTCTTGATTTCAGCTCAGGTCATGATCTCAGGGTCCTGAGATTGAGTGCCACATCAGACTCCACGTCTGGGTGTGGAGCCTGCTTAGGATTCTCTCTCTCCCTCTTTCTCTCTCCCCCTGCCCCAGCTTAAGCTCTCTTCTCTCTAAAATAAATAAAATCTTTTAAAAAAAATCTTGAGTTAATGTATAAAATTCATGAAAAAAAAAGTAGTGGGAAACAAATTGGACAGGCAGGTAGTAAGACAAATGATGGGGTTATTTTGTTGGTCACAAAGACCCACTGAAGTTTTGGGTCCTAGGGGTCATATCAGAACTATCCTTGGAGAAGTTTCCTGGCAATCCTGCGTGGAATGGCTGAGACAGAGAGTAACCAAGGAAGCCTTTGATGAGGCACTAGGAGAAGCTGAAGGAGGACCAGGACCAGGGTGGTAGCTGTGGAAACAGAACTGGCTGGAGAACCTTGTGGTTTTCTGTCAGGCTTCCCTTGAAGTCCCCTCTCTGGGCCTGGGTTTTAAACAAACTAGCTTTTAAACATTTGAGCATAGACTACAGCTGATTTTGGAATTGCCTTTAATTTCTGCAGCAAAGAAATAGAACAAAACAAGCTAAATTTTGAAACACTGCCCGTGAGAAACAAAATGATTGAACTCTGAGGAGTCAGTGGGTAGTATTGTCATCCGGTTAAGGGTGGCCTGAAAGGGACCCTATACACACACCCACATTGCTACACAGTTTTTCTCCATGTCAGAGTGAAGGAGACAAAACCTGTGAGAAGCATGTTTGCCACTCGGGACAGGGGCCGATTTGTTGTCTCTCAGAACTGCTTTTCCTTGGCCTCGTGTTCCTAAGAGGACACACTGCTGCTGGTCTTACTGTCCACATGTCCACACAAGGTGATTACATGGGAGCTGAGAAAACAGACCAATTTTTAATGCCTCTTATTCTTGAGGCTTGTATCGCGTTCCAGAAGAACTTCTGGATGATCCTGTTTGAAGCAATTTGTATAAGTATTGGGCTTTCCTGGATTTTGAACCGAACTCAGTATCTGTGAGGTTCTTACTTCATTCATCCAGAGGAAGAGAGTAGACCCAGTGTCTCCAACTTGTGAACACTCTGGGACGGGTGTCTCCCTGGCTTGGCCCTGTCATGTATGCCTTTAATCAGCAAGTATGAATTCAATGTTGTGTGTACCAGGCACTGTGCTGCATACGGGAGATGCAGTGATGAATAGGGCACAATTATTATGCGACATGGGTACCAGGATAGTTTGGGCATAGAGGCAAGCAGATAAGTTCACCAATACAAAAAATGTTGAAGAGGCTTCTCAGTATTTGGTAAGTCCTTTGACCTTGGAAGCTCCTGAAAGGAATAATTAAAAAAAGAAAAGGGGAAAGAAAGACAATTACAGTTCAAAGAGAAAAGTTTGAGTTCAAAAGCCTAAGAGCCCTTAGGAATAAAGAAAAAATTCCCTAAGTAGACATAATAATAAACCTGTTATGAATAATAGTCATAAAATGAGCTTTTCAATTCTTTTAAGAATTAGAGATATTTTTGGATTGGACTGGGAACTTCAGCCCTATTGAGTTAGAACCTATCTTTTAGTTTTATCTTTTATTTCCCTCTGGTTCCTAGTAGTAAATGTCTTTAAAATGGTTAGGAGGAATTCTTGCTGTCAAGTAAGAAGTAAAGAAGAGGGTCAAGCTAGGGCTGCACTCTGGATCTGGAATCCACAGGAGGGTGTGGAAGGTGATTCAGTCCTAGGCATGAAGCTGAGTTCTGAGAAGGGTTCCACCTTTGCAGGGACTCCCTGAGGTCTGCCACAGGGTGGCTGTGGGATCTGGGGACTCCGTGTCTACATTTCTTGGAATTACCTAGAGTTCTAAACCTTATATGCCACTAATAAGTACCTTGTTCTGCTCTGGTGCCATGATAGTTTCCTTTACTTTATTCCATTGAGGTCAAGAGTAAAACAGTATCAAACAGAGCAATACACTGCCAATTTCCTGATACCCAATCTGATTTGAAAATACTTTAAGGAAGAAATGTGTTAATGATATAGGGAAGAGATGGGGAGAAAGAGATGCCTCCTCTCTTTTTGTAACATCATACTTTTGTACAATATAAGCATTTTCTATTCTTTAAGGATTAGTTAGCTGAAGATTTGTAAATTTTTCCTGATAAATAACGGTCACCCTCCTCTTTCAGCAGATTTCTGCACACGGCAGATCTTCTTCCAATGTAAATGGTGGACCTGAACTTGGTTGTTGCATGAGTCCTGAAGGTAGTCCTCAATCTGATGATTACTTTTATAAAGGAAGTCACCCATGTGAACTTGGTGGCCACCCAAAACCCACTTGTGCTAAATTATGATCTTCCTCAACAGGGATGTAATCATGTCACCAATTAGCCTAATGAGCCTTGGTGAGGTCACTTCAGGATATATGAAATATCCTTGTTTTCAATTAAGCTAACCCAATTTCAGATTTTACACTTGGGCTTCCTTTATTTTTCCTTAGTGGCAGTCTGCTCACAAGTCTTACATGTAGACTTCCCTTTCTCTCAATTAGGTAGCAAAGGTGTGTTTCTTCATTGGATGTCTGCTATGTGCTGGGCCCTGGGGATACATTGTAAAAAGTAGTCCTTTTAACCACTTCCTCCTCCTGCCTCTCACCCCCTCCCCTTTTTGAGAGGACTTTGAGCCAGGAGTTAGCCTTAACAGGTATCCCACAGCTGGGTAGAATTTTCTCTACTAGAAAATCTTGAGAAATCTTGAAAATTTTTAAGATCGAATCCCCACCTTCATCCCCTTTCCCTTCCTTGAGAGTTAACAAAGAAGTTTACAAAGCTTAGGTTAAATTTTCTTTTCCTTATTTTAGCTGATATTTCAGGGATATGTTAGGTTTTTTGATTATGTTGGTTTCGGATTTCACAACAAGGTCAAAAGGAAATTGGTGATTCAGGTGTTCAGGTGTTCTCTTCAGAAACTATGCTTAGAAATTTTCTTATAGTTCACTACAGATTTAGAAATCAATTGCATTGCAATTTATTATTTTACAGAGATGTAGGAATCAAGGTGAAATGCTGATGTGTTTGCTAGACTTTGCATTTATCCTTTTGTGCAGGTGTGAATGGAAACAGGTGTTCTGAATCATCAACTCTTCTTGAGAAATACAAAATCGGGAAGGTTATTGGTGATGGGAATTTTGCAGTAGTCAAAGAGTGCATGGACAGGTGAGTGGATCGTGAGGATAATCATTTGTTTACCTACATTTCTCCCCTGGAGTTTATTCTTACTAAGCTGAATGAAAGAACAAAAGGCCTTCCTGGGAGGTCTCTTTCTCCCCCTTCCTGAAAAAGTCTACAGTTAGGTAGGACCAGCTGTTTTGTAAGCCCACAGGCAGTTTGACCCGGAAAAAATAGGTATAGGCACAGAGTATAAACTTGCTTTGTACGCAGTTGGGCTGAGAGATTTATCAGGTCTCATCCATAAGCCAGAGAGGAATAGGAAAAAATAAGATTCATTAAAAAAAAAAAAATCTCCTATAGCACTTACTTGTGTCAGGCATGTTCTCAGTGCTGTGCTTGTATTATTAACCCTTTTAAGCCCCACAGTAACCCTCTCAATTAATACTTAATTGTAAATACTAGGAGTTCAGATACATGAGCTCTGACTCTATTCAGATCAGGGTCAGCCAACTTTTGCCTATTTTAAAATTATATATTTGCTTATTCAACTTTATATTGTTTAAGGTCCTAAATTCTCAAGTGGTAAGAAATCCATTCTTTTAAATTCCAGGCCTTTTGTAAACAATATACAAACTGGAAAAGACTCAGAGCTTTTGTGTTTATAGGTCAATACCCTACTTGTTCTAAGTGGTAATTTTTATTATTGGTGGGGAGTTTTCCAGAAAGCTTTTCCATTTTGTCGCATCTCCAGTGAAGCTTTCGTGCTCCTTGTAGAGGACACTGCCCTGTCCCCTGAGTCCTTTTACTTAGCTCTGGTGCACAGTTTGCCACCCAAGTAACAAATTAAGCATCTAAGATACGATCTCTACAGACTCATTAGAAATCTGAGTCAGGGTTTATTTTATGTTATGGGAAAGCAATTTCAATGAAAGTTGCTCTTCTAAGGTCAGCTTCCACAGTGTGTACTGTGACCATGTGGCAAAAGCAGTTGCACTTGAGAGAACTAATGTATTCCTGGAATACTGCAGTGTTTTTTGTTGAACTGTTTTCCTGGCTAAACAATACTTTTTGGCATGTTCAGATTAAATTGTGTTAAAGGTGATTAAATGTGGGGCGCCTGGGTGGCTCGGTTGGGCGACTGCCTTTGGCTCAGGTCATGATCCTGGAGTCCTGGGATTGAGTCCCACATAGGGCTCCCTGCTCAGCAGGGAGTCTGCTTCTCCCTCTGACCCTCCCCCCTTCTCATGCTCTCTTTCTCTCTCTCTCAAATAAATAAATAAAATCTTAAAAAAAAAAACTAACACTTAAAAAAAAAGTGATTAAACGTTAACAACCTCAACATTTGTATGTCCAAGTAAATGATCTCTTTCCTACCAGATACAGGCATTTATGGGTGTGGCTAAAATGGCACCAGCTGGAGTTTGGGCTGAGAAAGAGATGTTGAAAGCCTAGGGCTTTTTAGTCATTAATAGATTAACGTAAAGATATATTGATCATAGAAAAATTTTAGTTATTTTGATTCATTATTCTTAATTTTATTCTGCCTCCTAAGAGAACTATTTTGAGATTTAAGTATGGAAAAAATTTCTTGTCCAGCTTTGATACAACAGTTTTAAGTACTTTTAATATGTGAATTATTTAATATTAAAATTACTAACATCATAAAATGAGAATGACAGTGTGGCTTTGGATTTTTTCATTTCTTTTTTTGGGTACCTTTCTCCCTGGCCCCACTCACTATCGTCCCTAATGTACAGAGGAGGAAGGTAGTACTTCTCTGTTGAATTGTTTTCCTATTCTAAAAGATATTTAGAAGAATATCTTAGTTTCCTTTAGTAGAGGAAATCGGAGTGATTGTATCTTTGATTTGTGTCTTTAAATTGCCTTTCTCTGATTATTTCATAGGTCCACTGGAAAGGAATTTGCCCTGAAGATTATAGACAAAGCCAAATGTTGTGGAAAGGTACAGTATAAGAAACTGAGAAACCTTGGTGAGATGTTTACTGTGGTGAAGGAATTTAAGTGGGCATTGACAAGGCCTTAATAGGAATAGACCATTGATAATAATAGGGGAAACACTATCAACCTGTTTTTTTTTTCCTTGTCATTTTTCATTTTATTCTAAAATAATAAATTGACTTGATCCGGTCCTAGCTATAGAAAATGTAAGTTCTCTTCCTTGGGAGATGCCTATATGAAAACTCAGCAATGCTCAAAAGATCTGTCACGAACTGTGATGAGTCTAAGACTTTACCTTACTTTCCAACTAACTAGTTAGCCTTCTTGCTTTATGGATGCTGGCTGAAGACACAAGATTGCTGGGTCAGGGACAAAAGACTTTTATAACCTGTAGCACAGCAGGTAGCATTGGTTCTCTTAGCTCCCAAGTCCCACGGAAGTAATGCAGAGGGGCCCAGGCGGTTGCTATACACAGAATCTGGTTTAGATCACAGATGAGGATCCTCAAGCTTAGTAAACCCCCAGTCTTATTTACTTATTTTTTTTAAAGATTTTATTTATTTATTTGACACAGAGAGTGACAGCGAGAGAGGGAACACAAGCAGGGGGAGTGGGAGAGGGAGAAGCAGGCTTCCCGCTGAGCAGGGAGCCTGATGCGGGGCTCTATCCCAGGACCCTGGGATCATGACCTGAGCCGAAGGCAGACGCTTAACGACTGAGCCACCCAGGTGCCCCAAACCCCCAGTCTTATGAGGGGGCTGCTAGCAAACCTGTCCAAACTTTCCCCCAGAGGAAAACTATTTTTATGATCATGGTCAGGAAACCAATCTGTCCTCTACCCTCGAGGGAGACCCTATCTCTATGATCTCTATGTTACAAATACCCTTGGGAAGATAGTTTGTAACAAAAGCTGATAGAAGATGTGTAGAAACACCATGAAGAATTGCCCTTCCCGCCCCCCCACCCCCCAATGAACTTTTTTTCTTCTGTCCCACTCTCAGGCTGATCTGGGAAAGATCAAATGATGAAATGCTGCTGGAGTATTGATATGTTAACTATGTTTGAAAAGATAATAGCAGGGATGACAAAGACCTTTTCTGAATTACTTTCTGTTAGCATAGCAGTTAAGAAAGCAGGCTCAAGAACTCCTAGGTGGCTAGTCTGAATTAAAGTGTAGATTAGAATACACAGTAGATTTTTGTAGACAGTATGAAAAAACAGTGTGGTACCTCATTAATTTCTTTTTTATTTGATTGCATTTTGAAAGGATAATATTTTGGATATATTGGGTTATGGAAGTTATTAGTGTTATCTGAATCTTTTTATATTTCTTAATGTGGGCATCAGAAAATTTAGATTTCTATATGTGGATCACATTCTATTTCTGTTGAACCGTGCTGTTCTAGTGCCAGAGTGTATGAAGTTTTAGTCTTGGTTCTGCTTCTTTTTGCTGTGCTACCTTGGAAAAGTTACTTAACCCCTCTGTGTTTCTGTTTCTCCCTCTAAAATGTGGTTGTTAATAATATCTAAGACACAAGGTTATTGTGAGGATTAACTGAATTAAGGTATGGAAAACATGTAGAGAAATACCAGTATATAAGACTTTCGCACATGTTAACTGTTAACGTTATTAATATGCCACAGAAATTCAGAAAGTATAATTAGGATTTAAAGTGATAGTCGTGATTTTATATTTATGGAACTCCTAAAGTGGTCTTCATTGGAAATTTACAAAACTATGTATTTTTAACAGAAAACTTAAAATATTATGTTGAAGTTTGAGAAAGGCAAAAGGCAAATTTGTCATATGTTGGTTTTTTTTAACCACACTATGACAGCTAATGAAGCAGAGACTGTACAAAATGCCCCCCTTTTCTTTGAATAAGTAAGGTTTTCCTACAGTTAATATTCTTTAAATAAAATGTGTGCTTTTACTTATTGTTCTAACAATATTATTAAATTTTTAACTACAAAGCCTTTTCCTTATATGTAAATAAGTGTTGCTCTTTCTGGTATTGTGGAATTTAAGCAGAATGTGTCATAATTTTGGAAGCCAAGTTCTAAGCAACTGTAATAAAGTATTTTTATCAAAAAAGTAAAAAAAAATTGCTATGGTAGGGATATTGTTTACCTGATTAAATTTTAAGCAGCTGTTTTAGTAGTTGAAAAAAGCTCTTTATGTGCAAAAATATGTTTGGTACACTAAATGCTGAGACAAATGATTAGATCACTTTAAACATTTGGATCTGTTTTTCCTTGTCATTGAATGTCATCCTGTTTTTATAATTCATGATCGTATGCTTATTTCCATCCTCACATTTTGCTTATTTGAGCAACTATTTCTACTGTGTTTAAAATTATAATTTAAAAACTTGGTTTGTTCCAGATAAGTTGATTTCCCCACTGACTTTTATTTTTGAAAAAAATTGGTATAGAGAATTTCTTTTTTAAGACACAATCTAGGGGGAGGCATAGTGGAATCAGCTACTGTTCTGGGGTGTTGTTGGTTACCTCTGTTTTGTGGGTTGTACACAGAAACTAAATTACTAAAATGTATTCTTTCTCCAGGCTTGGACATAGAGGAATTTTGCACATTACCTTTAATGACTTGCTAAATAAGATATACCAGTTTCACTGATCAGCAGAGGTTCAGATTAAATAGCTTCCCAAAAGTCTCACAGGGGCAGAGCAGTGATTGGAATTTTGTGCTAGTTGATTATGTAGCCTGTACATTAGCCAGTCTGCCGTGTTCCCTATTCAAGTTGAATTTATTCATTTGTTCATGTAATAAGAACCTGGGGGGCGGGGCGCCTGGGTGGCTCAGTTGTTGTAAGCGACTGCCTTCGGCTCAGGTCATGATCCTGGAGTCCCCAGATCGAGTCCCGCATCAGGCTCCCTGCCCGGCGGGGAGTCTGCTTCACCCTCTGACCCTCCCCCCTCTCATGTTCTCTCTCTATCACTATCTCTCTCAATAAATAAATAAATAAATCTTAAAAAAAAAAAAAACTGGGGGAAAAAATCTTAACCTTATCTGGCCTTCTGTTTGCTTTTCTGTCATATACATATACATTATCAGATTAATTGACTCATTTACCTAAAATTTGATGTGTGTGCAAGAAACTGTGCTAGGAATAGGGTAATCTCACATATAACTTACTACCAGTTCTGCAGAGAATATATGGGAGTTTGGAGGAAGCACATGAGTGAAGTAGGTGATCAGTGAAGATGCCATAGAGTAAGCATTTGAGCTGGAACTCCAGCAGTGGTTAGGACTTCAATAGGCAGCAATGAAAGAAAAGCCTTCCAGGGGGCCTAGCACAGCCTGAGCAAAGGCCCAGAGGATGGAAGGCATGTAGGTGCCTCTGAGTAGGAGATCATTACAAGATTTGCCGTGGGCCAGATTTATGGAAGCTGTTGAGAAGGCTGTGGTGTTTGTAAATTTAAGAATTCTTCCATTGCATGGAGCACTGGGTGTTGTACACAAACAATGAATCATGAAACACTATGTCAAAAACTAATGATAGACTGTATGGTGACTAACATAGCATTAAAAAAAAAGAATTCTTCCGTATCTAATACTCTAAACGAGTTCATTCTAAATGATTATTTATCAAATTTGCATAGTGTACAAAGCTCTGAGCTCTCCGTTATGGTGCTTTGAAGTGGTCTGCCCTTCTCTTCCCACAGTTATGCATTCATCACCTCCATGTAATGGGCCCAAGCACAACCCAAATCCAAGTGTATATTGTATTTGTTTCCTGAGGCTGTCGGAATAAATTATGACAAACCTGGTGGCTTATAACAGCAGGAATTTATTCTCTCACAGTTCTAGAGGCCAGAAGTCTGAAATCCGTACTCCCTCCGGAGCTAGGGGAGAATCTGTTCTTTGACTCTGAGTAGCTTCTGGTGGCTGACGGCATTCCTTGGCTTGTGGCCACATCCCTCCAATCTTGCCCTCTGTCTTCACATCACTCTCTCTCCTGTGTGTTTATTTTTCCTCTTCTGTCTGTAAAATCTTCTTCTGCCTCCATTCATAAGGACAGTTGTGATGGCACCCAGATAATCCAGGGTTATCTCCTCATTGCAGAATTCGTTAATCACATCTGCAAAGACCCTTTCTCCAAATAAGGTAATATTTACAAGTTCCAGGGGTTAGGCCTTGATATCTTTGGGTGGCCATTATTCAATCTGCTACATACATCTTACCACAGAAATCATATGGGGTGATTTGGACATTTTCTCCCTCTGATTGAAAGTACTGGGAGCAGTACTCACTAAGCAATGTGGAATCCAGCTGGAAAGCCACTGTTGGCCAAGAGCAATGCATGCTGTCTTTATTCACTCACTCATACACTTGAGAACCAACTGTGCTGGTTGCTGGAGAGCGAGGTAAACAGAAGCCTTCAGACAAGCAGGGTGAGAGCAGTGATTGAAGCCAGAACAGGGGGCACAGAGAGAAGGGTGCGTAACCCAGCCACGATTGAGCAGGGGAGGCTATTTAGAGGAGGTGAGGTCCAATCTAGACCTGAGGAACACAGAGGAGTCCCCCAAGGAGTGTGTGTGTTGTGGGGGGGTGGGGGTTCCAGACAGAGAAAACCTGTGCAAACACCTGGAGGCCCAGGCAAGAGATTGACAATAGGGATATAAGTGAATGGGTGGATTCAGAGGCTGTTGAGAAGGTGGACCTGGCAGGAGCTGGGGACTGATGGGCTGTAGGTGGAGGATGAGGGAGGGGCTGGGAGAACGCTGTCTGCTTTGGGCAGCCGGGTTCATTCAGCCGGACAGAAGGCACAGGAGGAAAGGCTGCTTTGTGGGCCTGGGGCCGGTAGAGACAAGACGATTAGTTTTGTTTAGGAGAGTTGCTTATTCCCTAATCCATCTCTCTGTCTCTCTCTCTCTGTCATTAAAAACCACCATGGCCAAAGATAAGGTGGTATCCTTTGCCAAGTTAGCAGTTTTCTTTGTATTTACTCTCACTCAGAACCCTGGAACACTGCCACGAAATGATTCATATGTAAATTATTTGGAGTTAGAGTCCTGAATCACTTAACAGGAATAATGGTAGATGGCTGAATAATTTAAGTTCACGGCAGTTTGAGAGAAAAGTGACATTCGTACTGTATTGAGAGAGATTTTTTTCCTGGCAAATGTAATCTAAAGAGTGTTTTTATGTATTGGGCATAGTGATTCCACAGGGGTTGCCTAAGAAATCAGGGATGACATTTGTAAAGATTTTTATGGGCTACTTTTGTTTTGCTTCCGATGATGATCAGTTTAAAAAGCGGGTTGTTCCTTCCGACACAGTTTTACAGGCACAGTCAGAGGTTGGGGGACAAAGGCTACCATCTCCCATATTCCAGCAGAAACTCACTGAGTGAGTAGAACCCTGGCCTTCGTGGAGGAGAGCCCACGGCTGAGCTAATGAGCCATGGCGGGTGGCATGCTGCAGTACTCGCTCAGTATTTCAGATGTAGCACTCCTGGTTGTCCTGGGGGAAGTTCCACAATCAGAAAGTTCCCAGAAGACTTTCTATTGAGCCTTTCTTGAAAAAGATAACTTTTGAGAGGTGTTGTCTCCCTAGGTGGTAGACATCTTATTTTAACTGGGATTTGAGAGAGCTCCTGGGGTACTGGTGATGGGGATGATTTTACATGTGTCACTCTCAATTAGCATCCCTACCAGAGTCCCTGAATAGAGGAAAATTTACAGACTCCTCCAGCTTTGGAGACAATAGGGAGGAGGGGGGGTGTATTGAAGTGATAGATCCATTTAGCTCTAAAATAGAACGCCTTTCTTGCTGCCGTGGTAGTAACTCCTGTTGTCTTGGCTTCACGTAGAGTGAAAGAAATGTATTTGCTTGCTTTTACGTGTTCGCAAAAGTACATCTAACTCTGGCTATTAGTGTGATAAAGGGCAGACTTGGCACAGATGATCCAGAGAGGCCTCGAAGTAAGTGAACCAATGTGGAGTGTTTGCTGAGTCTTTGTCCCTCTGACAAGGAGTTGGCTGTCAAGCTGCTTCTCTTGGGAGGGACCAGGGCACTGTTTGCTGCTTGGTGCTGCAGCTCTGTAGCTTAGACATAAGGGATTGCTAACGGGTAGGCGGCCCTGTCCCCAGCCTCCCAGCTGTGGTTTGTTAGGGTCTGAGATGTGGAAGCCTTTGCTTAGTCTCAGGCTGGGCAGAGACTTCCCACCCCTGCTCATTAAGGGGCATAGATTCTCCTCTCTGCGCAAAGCCTGGTGTGATTCTGCCTGGACCTCTCTCGTTCCTGTTTTTTTCAAGGAATTAAGTATTTTCCGCTTTGCAGCTATCATTTTCATTTGGAAATATTCTTTGACCGAAACATTCCTTTTTAAAAGGTGATACTGTGTTGTACAAAAAATGTGGGCTTGGATGTCAGAAACCTAGGTTTGCATTTTCCCTCAAAGACTGTTCTAAGGATAAAGTGTTAAGACATTACACAAATACTTCCTTTGCAAAGAGACTGACAAATAGTGACTAGGTTCCTAGTAAATGTTGGTTCTTTTCTTTTCTTTTCCTGCTTCAGTTTAGCATTTGCACTGTCATTTGCCAACATTCACTGAGTGACTACTTGGACAAGCACAGTGCATTCAGCGCTGGAGAAATGGCCCACGTGAGCAGGAGTTTGCTCAGGGTTCCTGTGGATGCTCCTCATTCATTTGATATAATGTATATTAATCTGTTGTTTGAGATGGCTTAGAGTAAAAAGACATGTCCATATGGATGCATGAAGATAAGTGGAGAACCTAAATGACATCTTGACCTAGACATAATTATCTTACCACTGCAGTGGAACACTAAATTTAGTGCTGAGATTCATGATGGCAAAGGTGAAAGGTACACTATGAGGGGGACACACACATACACACACACATGGATATATACATATGTGTGTATTTAGGTAGCAAAAGCTATCTCTCATATGGTAAGTTTTATGTAAAAGTTATATTTGAAAACCCAGAATGTGTCAGAGGGCAGTTAGTTAATTTAACAGAGCATACCCTAAATTCAAAATAATTTATTGTTCTAGCTCATGAGGATTAACAAATGTGATTTTATTGAAATGTTTTCATGCCTCATAAAAATAGAGCAGTAGTTGTTCATGATTCATGTTTGGTGTATTGAGAATAATTCCTTAATGCTGTGGGTAAACATTTTGCTACAGTGCTGATCCCAGCATGACTCACCAGGATTGATAATCAGGTAGTATTTTCAGGGAAGAGGTTAAAGTGAAAATGAAAAGTGGTCCCCATGGTACTCAATGTTTCCTGATTTCTGAAATATGAGACGGTAAGGGACATCCTTCTGGTGAATGATTCCATGCCCAGCCATGGAGGGGACCTTTTTTTTTTTTTCTCATAAGTTCAACATGAAATTCAAATTCATATTAGTAATGGTTTAAAAAACTTAATGCTCAAGTTGCATTCCATACACATGCAATTTCCTTGTGTACTTGATCTTGATTTTGAGTGTATACTCAAAAAGTGGTTCCAGGGGCACCTGGGTGGCTCAGTCAGTTAAGCATTTGACTCTTAATTTCAGCTCAGGTCATGATCTCAGGGTCATGAGATTGAGCCCTGTGTCGGGCTGTGCTCTGGGCTTGGAGCCTGTTTAACATTCTCTCTCTCTCCCTCTCTTAAAAAAAAAAAAAAAAAAAAAAAGTGGTTCCAGCTGAATCACAAAGCACAGTGCTTTGTGCCCAAGCTTTCTCAGTGTCATGACCTCTTAAGCATTGGAGGTAATGAAGAGAAAAGAAGGTAGTATATTTTATGTGCCAGGGTGGCACCATTGAGCCCTTTCAAGGGACATTTTGAGGATATCAGTTCCTTTTTGTTAGTGACAATGACATGTCACACTGACGTGTCCTGTCCCTATGGAAACCAGCTCAGCCAGGGCTTGGTTTTGTCTTTGCACCAAGGGAGGCGCTTTCTTCGGCATCCAGTCTACAGTAGTGCATCTTCCAGAATATAGAGCTAGAAAAGAGGGTTCTCTGATTTCTGACCCACCTCTCTAAACCCTTCCTTTGACAGGAGCACCTGATTGAGAATGAAGTGTCCATCCTGCGCAGGGTGAAACATCCAAATATCATCATGCTGGTTGAGGAGATGGAAACAGCTACTGAGCTCTTTCTGGTGATGGAACTGGTCAAAGTAAGAGGGTGGAGAGATTTCGAGAGATTTCATTGGTGCCAGATCCCAAGACATACCATATTCTTGAAGGCCCTAATTGGAAACATGTTTCGCTACCTTGAAACTTTTGTTATTTATCATAATTGTTCATGGCATTTGTGTCATTTTTTCATCTACTCCAGGCTGATGAACCTTCTTTGTTACCTTCATAGGATTGTCACTGTTGACACTTTGCTGTGTTGTTTTATGTGTCCATCAGGGTGGAGATCTCTTTGATGCAATTACCTCTTCAACCAAGTACACTGAGAGAGATGGCAGCGCGATGGTGTACAACCTGGCCAACGCTCTCAGGTATCTTCATGGCCTCAGCATCGTGCACAGAGACATCAAGCCAGAGAACCTCTTGGTATGCCATCTCTGCTTTTTTTGTTCCAATTCATCCTCTCTTCCTTTAAAATGACATGATCACATGCAAACAAAATCACTTTAGAGTCTGTACCAATCCTGCAATAAGGAACTGAGAGAATTTAAATTTAGAGAATCACCATGACTCAAGTCAATGACCGTAAATTATTAATGGATTTCTTAAATTGATATGCATTTCTGTATTTATTGTTTATCAGACATTAGAAAACACGTCTCCATTTGCACTTTGATTGATGGTACTGACTAAAGAAAGGTAAGAAGGAAAACTACTTGGTGAGGCAAAACTTTGAAGAATAGAGAATTATGAGCTTAGAGAAGACAGAAATAGAATATGATGGTTCATTTATGTGCAGGACAGAACTTTGGGAATAATCTAGTCCATTTACCTCAGCTTTACAGGTACAGAAATTGAGACTCAGATGCTAATTCTTCTGGCTGAAAAGTCCCATGCATCCCATTGTTCTATAGAAGAAAGCCTGTAGCACTCAGAAGCCTTCATAATCTGGTCCCAATTTACCTTTCCAGCCTCCTCTCCTGTTACTAACCCTTCCCCACCCATCTGTCCAGACTGGCACTCAACCTTCATGTCATATTTAGCACATCTCCATGATGGCCTTAGTAAACACAGCTTGCTAATTGGGCCAACCTTTGTGTCTGCATGGTAGAGGAATTTTAGAGAAGCTGACTAGGGACTTTGACCATCACACATCCCCCCAAACACACACAGGACCATTTTTTCATCTATTTCTATCTTTCGGGGCTGAGTATTGTCATCATTATGGCTTAGGAGGTGGGGTTTTCTGAGTATTCTATATCATGATAATCCAAACTCTGATTTTCCCATCTCTAGTCATTAGTTAAGACTTAACTTTATCAACACCATTACATATCATTGCTTATTTCCATACTGGTCTACATTTGCAATGTCCTCTCTCCTGGCAACGTGGCAAACGTGTTCCTCTCATAAGACACTGAGCAAAAGGCATGTCTTCTCTGACATCACTCCTTCCCGGACAGAGTCAGTCATGGCCCCCTCTAGTTTCTGCTGTACGTGCCCTGGTGTGGTGAGTTTATCATGTACTTGAGTGACTCCTTCTCTAGATAAGCACCATTAGGGGCAAGGTTTGTGTCTCCATTATTTTCATGTCGCCAGTGCCCTGAACAGTGCTAAGGAAGCACACGGTGGACGTGGAGTAAATGGTTGGTGCCTGAGCATTGACAGTCGCTCAGCTAGCCAGCAGCTGGTACTCGAACTCAAGTCTTTCCAGCTTGCCTCATACTCGCACTGTGCAAATAATTGTTGAAAGGAGTATGCATTGATGTTGAGGCTTTTAGGCCATCCTGGGAACTTTGTGTGAATCCATCTTCCCCTTTTGGTAATACCATTTGATGATTTCTGAGTATCCATTTAAATGTATGTGAGGTTTTTTCTTCTTTCCTACTGTCTTCTGCCTTGAGGAGTTATGTTTCATGTCTAGATTTTCCTATTGGGAAAATAAATATCCTTTCTCTGTAAAACAAGATGTATTATAGACTTGGTTTTATGAACTCTAAGGAGGAATGGAGACAATTGTAGACTGGGCCTCAGGATAGAAGTGAGGGTATGGTGTTCTCTCCTCAAAACAGTCTTCTCAGCCATTATGACCTGTCAGGCCCAGGCTCCTCCACCACGGAACTGAGGTTGGCCAGGGGCTTCAGAAGCAAGGGTAACAGGGCTTCCTCTGGCTATGGCCAGATGTCAATGCCATAGTGTTAATGAGGATGCCTCCTTCATTTCTCCTTGCTGTCCATGGCCCACCTCACCCTGGTGGCTGTGGTTATTGATGTTTTCTGGAAATACAGAGCCACAGGTCCCTAAGGGCAATAGGTTACTCTGGAGCCAGCCCATACTGTAGCTCTGATTGCTGAGGCCCGGTAAGGAAGGTGATTGAGGCCTTCCTTGGCGAACTCGCCTATAAGCCAGGGAGTGTCCATTTCCTAGCTCACCGATTTCACTCTCACCTGCCCTTTCGTCTGTTTTCCACTCACAGTGTGTGGAACATCTCAGAGTCTGATACTGTCTCCTTTTCTCATGTCACATGATGGGGACCAGGGGTCTCCAAAATGACCTGTCTCAGAATGTAACCAGGAAAGTGGAACCAACTTCCTCATCCGGTCTAACTTGCCCTAGATGAGGCTTCACCCCTTTTCAAGACCTGCCGTAACCCCACTCTGCTACCCAAAGGGGAGGAGAAGGAAGATGATGATGATAAAACGGATGTCTGGATAAGGCTAATGTGTGGTATAAAAGGGTCAGGCTGTGGAAGCCCTTAGCTGCACATATCTAAGTAAAATATGTGCCTGCCATTGAAAACTTAACTAGATCACTCAGCAGATTCTGCATTTAGTCAGCAGGTTGGCATTGCCCTAGGATGAGAAAGTGCCATTGAGGCACTAAAAGTAAATACAACAGTGACTGTCAGCCTCTTCCTACTCTAAAAGCGAATTCTGTTGTTAAGCACCAGAGCATTCAGACATCTGATTTGCATCGCCTTCTCCGGGAGCAGTGTCATAATTTAAACCTCTGCCAGCAGAGATGTATGGGTCGCCGTGTCAGGGAGCACAGGGGTGGCCATTAATGCTGTAACTTACAGCCTGGTGGTGCCCTGTCAGACTTAACTATGAGAGACCAGTGATAAATTCTGCTTTTCCAGGAGTTCTGGGGACTGGGGAGAGAAGAGGGTTGGTTTCCCATATTTGAAGCCCTTCTAAATCATTATGTTGACATTTTATTTAGAGAACACGCAGCGTTCACTTCGTATGTGGGATCTGCATTCCTCACATCTTAAACTTTTGCATTCTGAGTGCAACTTTTGACAGAGCACATCTCAGCGGGTGGCGGTGGGACATTTGAGGGGTCGTGATTGTTGAGATTACTCAGCATCTGTGTGTGGGTGCAGGCTGCAGTCGGGGTTCTCCCAGGCCCACTCTCTTGCGTTCAGACCTGTTGCAGGATGGTGCTGTGGGATGGTAAAGGTACTGGCTGGAATCCCCACTTGGTAGCTACTAGTAACTTGAGTTCTTGTGCCTCAGTTTCCTCATCTGTAAAACAGAGGTAACAGTTACTTTCCTAGTCACCTGGTGGGGGTGGGGCGGGCAGTGACTCTCAGGTCCAGTGAGATCATGTGTGGAAAAAGCATTGGAATATGTGGTGTCAGTAACTGGGGAGAGAACAGAGCACTCTGCCAAAACAGAAGGCCTTTGGAGTCCCCTATGCATTTGTTCAGCTCTTTCTTCAAATCAGTCTATTAAAGCAATGCCATATGTGTGTATGTCAGTGTCAGTCTCTTAAAGCAATGTCACACATGTGCATCTGTATGTATAGATTAATACATATTCCTGCTTTGAAGAGAATTTCCAGCTAAGATTTTGAAATGGACTCCTATTATCTTTCACATATTTGCCTCTGTGTCTAGCATTGGGAAGAGAGGAATCAGATAAAGTATTATTTCAGGCTTGTCTGCTCCTTATGACACTTCTCTTTTGATGTTTAGCCAAGGAGTGCCACTTGCCCAGACATAATTCAGTGATTATGAACTGTCCAGTACCTTTCTGTTTATGCTCCTGCATCTGACTCTGAATTCCTTACAGGGGATATGAGAAATGGGGCTTTGGGGACTTCTGAGTATCTGACAACAACCCTCAAATACCCCCAGGCATCCGTAAATTGCATGTCTAAAGTAAACACTATTAAAAAAAAAAAAAAGTACCTAATGAGTGTATTTTAAACTTGTAAAAACAAAATAACAATGACATTAATAAAACTTTTTTTTTTTGCTTTCATGATACAGACATTTAAAATTATAATGTTGCTTAGAATGTTCTTATCACTGCAATTACTTAGGGAATTTCTGAAGTCTGGGTTTCAGTAAATGCATCATAAATTCTGACTGTAGTTCTCTATATCGGATTGTTCTTGTTAATGTTTACATTAAACATAATGGATGGAAAGTCGTCCTAAGGCCCTGGCAAGACTGAGAACCTGGTTTCTCCTGCTTTAGGCTAAATCATTAGTAGCTTTGAATATGCCTCTGCTGAGCTGTGGCTGACTCAGAATGATAAATCTCTGTGAGGGACTCAGCAGCCTCACCATTACTCCCATGAAAACTTAAAAGTCATAAAGATGTGTGCTGGGGATGTATACTTAGTACATAAATGTGGAGGCAGTTACTAAAATACTAAGGTGAAAAACATTCTTAAACCGATGAGGACATCGCAGGTAAGGAAGGTGTTCCAGTGTCACGCTTTTTAAATGCCTCTATAGACTGGGTATCGCTGACATGGGGGAGCCCTGAGGTTTTGATGCTTTTTCACGATGTCTGTATAAATCACTTCGCCTCATTAAGTATCAGACTAATGGAAGATGTTATTAACATGCTTATCTTGAAAAAACATAATTTTCTAAATTGCTCATCCTTTAGTAAGGAGAGGTTTGAGTGAGGATCTGGTTCAGTTCATAGCAAAATATAAGGAAAGGCAAACTAAATAGAACTAAATTATAAAAGTAGGGAAAGACATTACATTAGTACAGATTAGATCTCTGCAGTTATTTTTCTCTGAAATTCACCCTTCTCAAAATGGACATCCAAGAGATGAATAGGCAAGCACGTTAAAGTTTACGCAGTTAAATCTAAAAGCCATCTATTTAAAATGTAACTTTCAGACTTTGATCCCATAAGGAAAGTTTGCTTATATATAAAGTTAATTTTTCTTGATTATAGAATCAATACGTGTTCATTGTAAAGATTTTAGAAACTACTGAAAAGTATAAAGAAGAAAGCTAAAGTAGTCTTTAGTGCTACTCCCTAGAAATAAACTGAACGTTTTGGTGTATTATACTGAATATATAATTTTGAATATTCTTTTTTCCTGTAATATAGTGAATATTTTCCATAGGATTAATACTTATTTGAAATGTGCTTATTAGTGACTGTATAGTGTTTTATTATAGGAATGTACCATGATTTATGAAGTCATTGTCCTATTCGCCATTTATGTTCCTTCCAGTTTTTAAAAACATAGATAAATTCTGAGATTGGTGGTCTTGTGTATAACCTTTGGGTTCATCTCTATTCCCTTAGGATTGGTTCTTAGAAGTAGATTTACTGGATCAAGTGTTACAAATAATTTTTAAGAAATTCACATGTTGCTGAAATGTTTTCTAGAAAGACTGCTTCCCCTGTAAGCAAAGCGCATTCATATCTTCACCAGCATTGTTAAACCATTTCCAATATGTTACTTATCTCATCAGCCAGTCCTTCTGGGAAAGGAAGGAGCATTCACTGAACCCTGATCCAAGCTTGGTCTCTTCACACCAACCCCATGGGTCAGGGACTATTCTCATCTCTCACAGGTGAAGAAACATGTTCAGGGAGTGACTCGCGAAGGTCACACAACCAGGAAACGGGTGGAGTGGTTGGTTATTCAGGTTCAGGCTGTCTGTTCCCAAGTTTATTTTTTTTAAATATTTTCTAAACTTACAAAATTTTCCCTATGAAATATTTATATTCATCATTGCCTGTCCAAAAAAATAAATCCGGATTTTATGTTCTAAAGTAAAATGCAAGTGTTTTAGTGGACACAACAAACACCATTTCTGAGACTCTCAAGTACCTCACACACAGTAAACATGTAACAACGGTCAGTTTCCTGCTTCCGGGTTTAGAGGCCTCTCAAGCCATATTGGGTAAGCAGCTGCCTATACCCCCCTGTTGTGTCAGCATGCGCCCATATTCATTATACTCCTAGATAAGGAGCTTTTTACAAAGATGGAGGATACCATCTTTCAAATTTCACACAATCATGCAAAATTTCAAAAGAAAAAATTTAGAGCTTTAAAGCATCAAAAACAAATCATGGTGTTACTATCACGGGGAGAGTTTGGTTTTTTTTGTTTTTTATTTAGTTGATGAATACATCTATCTGTGTCGTTTCTACCTAATTCCAAGGGCCCTTTTGGAATCATTGAGAAAAGGAACTACTGATCATTGGCTGGTTTCTGTTCCAGGTGTGTGAATATCCCGACGGAACCAAGTCCTTGAAACTGGGAGACTTTGGGCTGGCCACTGTGGTGGAAGGCCCTTTATATACAGTCTGTGGCACGCCGACTTATGTGGCTCCAGAAATAATTGCTGAAACTGGGTAAGACTCCTGGTGGTTCTGGTTGGTACTTTCACTTTGGTGGAAAAAGGTATGTGTAGCTGCTCCAGCTGCAGTGATTTCACGGGCCTCTTGGGAAGGTGGAGGGTGGATCTGCATCATGACTTTGATCATGACTTTGTGCTTCTATGTCCAAGAGCCATAGGCCTGGATTTTCGTCCCGAGGCCAGTCTTGGAAATACAGCAGTAGCCCCCAAGACCGTGGTTAGGTTGGGAGAAAAGTAGATGCCTCTGTCCAAAGGGCATTTAATTCCTTTATGTGAAATGAGCGCTTTGACACCGAGAAAACCCTTTTTCATAACAAACAAAGGCAAGTACTCCAGTAGCGTGGAGGGTCCTTGGGGGTAATATCTTTATTTCTCCCCCTCCACTCACTTTGTTTTCCCAGCTATGGCCTGAAGGTGGACATTTGGGCAGCGGGCGTGATCACATACATACTTCTCTGTGGATTCCCGCCATTCCGAAGGTCAGTGGCTCTTTGAGTAACAACATTTGAATTGTAAACTCTCTCCCTCTGATCAGCAGACATCCTCATCCTGGCAATCAGGACCAGTAACCGGTCAATAAAAATGTCAGTTAAAAATTATATAACATACCTTTCACTTTTTATCTTATTTTACAACCATTAATGGCTATTCCTTGACCACACTTTGATGTGAGGCCAGGGCCTTTGCTTGGTGTATGGTCCTCTGAGTTTCTTATGGTCATTCTTCTGTAAAACACACCCATCATCCAATGTCTACAATTTCCATTCTCAGTCTTTTTCACGGGTGGTAAGATTGAAAGATGCTTATGAAGCAGTCTGATCCTTCTAGGTAAACAAACCTTTTTCCTGTTGTTAATAGTCATTTCTCCTACTTAATTTGACAGCAGGTCTTTTTTTTTTTTTTTTTAACAACTCACTTTCCACAGCATTCAACTTAGTTCTCATAGACTCATAGAAACAGGGAATTCTTTCTTTTAAAATTAATTTCATCTGTTCACATAATATTTAATGCAGTAGAATTACAAATACTTTCAGCATAAATAGGCCTGGGAATACACAGACCTACTCTTGGTAACGGTGTATCTCACCTGGGGTCACGGTGGGGAGCAGAGGTGGCCACACACGGCCCAGGGCACACTCAGTACCCCAGCAGCGTGTACCCGAAGGGAGTGCAGGGCTTTGGCCACAGTGCCACTTTTGGTCTGTTCCATCTCCTTCTTTGGAGCAAATGAATGCCTTGGAAGTAGAAGTTCATCTAATGATGCAAGTATGTTTTTCTTCTGAGTTTTCTTGAGCTCTCTCTTCATTTTCATCCTTCTTTTTGTTCATTTTACAACTACTGTAGAGTAACCGCTGTGTGCCAGGCACTATTCTAAGCGTCGGGAATCAAATGGCAAACAACGCATGTTCTCTGATGTATTTATTTATGGTGTGGTATTAGGTCAGTAAGTTCAATAGGTTGAATTCACTGCCCCCCCCCAACGTTTTATTATAAAGCTTTGAAACATACAGGAAAGTTGGAAGGTGTATCTTTCTTAAATGACCAATTTTCAATTGAGTTGAACAGTTTTCTTTTTACTGACATTACGGTAAACACAAGAGTGACATAGAGATTTCAGTCTCTACTTTTTACCTTATCATGTAAAGATACCCATCACCAAAATATTGATCAAGAAGAATAAAACTAAAAGCATGGAGACATTTAACAAAGGTTAAATGAAAGAGTGTTTGAGTGGGACCTTGTCCTTGTGGCTGGGGTTGGGTTTCTGCAGGTGGGGAACTTTTTCCATCTGGCCATCAACATCATGAGGGCCTTCAGGGCCGCTGCCTAAGCTGGATTACACAGACTGTAGGATTACTGCACTTGTCAGCTTTTGCTGACTAACAAACTACTCCAACAACTGTCGATCAGTTCTATGGATTGATTGGGCAAGTCTTCTGATTTGGGCTGGCTAATTGGGACTTGGTGGCTCATTGTGGCATCACTCACATGCCTGGAAGTTGGCTCAGTGTCAGCGGGGACCACAGATAAGACTTGGTTAAGTGCCTTTTAGTGTTCAGTGGGTTAGCCTCAGTTTCACATGATGGTGGCTACAGGATCCCCAAAAGCATCCAGAGAGAGGGCAAGTTCCTTTGCCCAACCCCTTTCCAAGTCTCCACTTGACTCACCTTTGTTGATTGATGTCCCACTGACCAAATGAAGTCAAATACCTGAGCCTAGAGTAAATTAACCAGGTCTGTTCCTGGAGTGGAATAATTTGTGGCCATTTTACATTTACAGTTCCATTGGGTTCTGGCTGGTTTGGGTGATGAGCTGTTTGAGGAACTAGTCAAGTGCAGGGGGTAGTGTGTTTTGATGGCACGTAATCATGGGCCCAATTATAGCAGAGTTCCCCTCCTAGGTTAACCCAAGTGGAGATCAGTTGGGAAAGGGTTATCAGGGATCAGTTTAGAGGAATGTGTGCTCACAACTCCCTCTAGTGTTTCCATGTGCCAGGGCAGTCTGCGGGGTTTTTATTTGATTTTGCTTTTTACTTTTTAACAAAAGCGAGACTGAGATTGAACAGTATGTATCGCTTGTGACTTGTTGCTCAGCGGACAGCAGCTTTTTTGTGGGAACTGGAGGTAAGTCTGGCTAATCAAAGCAGTCAAGCTACATTATGAAAGCTGCTGACTTATATTCGGAAGCTGGTCCTACAACCATGAAGTTAGTTACGGCCTGAGGAAGTCTGTTCTTGGGGCCACTGACATAAAGTGATATTTGCATGACTGTACTGTTAATATTGTTGTTTCTGAAACATACATTCATTCTCCCCATAAGTGAACTGTTGGAATATCCTTTGTAACATTTCAAGTTACCTCATCAGACCTTTAACAGTTTGCCATTGAAGAGGGAGTGTGCTCAAACTCCTACTGTTTTCAAGGTTTTTCTTAACGTACACTTTAAAACTTACTGCACCTTGACCCGTGGGCTATATTGTTTTAGGATTTAAAAGTGCCCTGAAGCACCTCAGCCAGATTGTGGAGGATAAATGTGTTAATAAGTCCAGTGTAGATTTAATCGGAGTGGCTTTTACTATGTGACTATTTAGAAGGATAAATTTACTTTCTGTTCTTCTGGTGAGGGGTGGCCTGAAACTCTCAAAGCGCTTGCATTTCTCAGTGTGGATCCTAAAAGGTGCCTGCTAATTGCTGAGACTCTATGGGCTTATGTTTGTTGACTCAGACTATTTTGCCAAGAACCTAAATGACTTGCTGCAGCTACACTTCCAACTTTTTAGCTGTTTACTAACAAAGTAAAAGCCATATATATTAAAATAGAAGCTATTTGGTATTCCAGACAATAAAAGGGAGATGAATAATAGAGAAGAATGGCTAAAAGGAATGGTTCTGGAAATGGGTGATTTTTAACATCTTTTTCTAACATTGTCTCCTGGGGTCCTCCAGTCTCCTAAAGATGTCTGTAAAATCTCATTGTGTTCTTATGTGCCTCCTTCACTCATTTTGAGGGAGAGTTGACAGTAGGGAAGTAACAGTGAAAAAGAAAACATTCAGGCACTTAGGAAGAAATAGTGTGTGCGCCCTCCTAGACAAGCACTTTCCAGGACAGCAGTGGGGATCTGTTGCCTCCCCAGGTTGTCTGGCCTGACTTCTCCTCAGTGTGCCTCTTGACCCAGACTTCACAGACAGGCAGGGGTCGATTCAGCTGGGCTTGGGGAGATGTCACGGATGTTCACAAAGCTCACGGACTCTGCAGGCGTACCTCGGAGATGTTGGGAGTGTAGTCCCAGGACACTGCAATAAAGCAAATACACACAGTAAAGCAAGTCCAGTGAATTTTCTGGTTTCCCAGTGCATATAAAGGTTATGTTTACACGGTACCGTAGCCTACTAAATAGTGTGCAATAGCATAATGTCTAAAAAAAACAAGGTACATACCTTCATTTAAAAATGCTTTATTAAAAAAAAAACAGGGGTGCCTGGCTGGCTCAGTAGGTAGAGATTATGACTCTTGATCTCAGGGTCGTGAGTTCAAGCCCCATGCTGGGCATGGAGCCTACTTTAAAATAAAAAAAAATAATAATAATAATAAATAAAAAGTACTTTGTTACTAAAAAATGCTACCCATGGTTTGAGCTTTAGCAAGTTGTAGTCAATGATCAGAGATCACCATAACTGATAGAACAATAGTGAAACAGTGTGAAATTTTGCGAGAACTACCCAAACGTGACACAGAGACACAAAGTGAGCAAATGCTGTTGGAAAGTGGTACCGATGGACTTGCTCAGTGCAGGGTTGCCACAAACCCTCACTTTGTAAAAAACAGATTAGCTGCAAAGGTGCAGTAAAGTGAAGCACAAATAAAATGAGGTTTGCCTACATTCTTGTTCACTGAACAGGAATGGGATCATCACATCATCAGACAGCCCCAGAGTTTGTCTCTAGGCATGGCCCTAAATGACTTATTTCTGTGGACACCACAGGTGCTTACTCGGAGAAGGTAGTTAGTGGGACTGGGCTTCTGTGTAGAAGGCTGGGGAGGGTCCCGTGTGAGTACACTGAGCAACAGGTGCAGGGGCCCTGTTGGGAACTCCCAAGAGAAAGCACATTTACCAGCTGAGACTGATTTCCACTCCTGGATTTTGATCTTAGCTCTAACAGCCCATCCTGAATTTTCCAGTGAGGCTGGGTAATGGCCTGAAAAGCCAAGGACTTTGTTTTCACTCAGGCCGTTGATGCACCCACCAAGTGAGAGGGGTGGAGGGTGGCCCTGTGGCTCTGTTTTCTGGGAAGTTGGGGACATCCAGCTTCCTGAATTCTTCTCAGTAGTGTTTATACATTTCCATGCTCCTTCCATCGAAAGTCAAGTCCTCATTTATTCACTAGGCATCAGCTGTGTGTGCAGGAGCACCTGTGAGGGTGGCACACTTAGGCACAGCATGAGGACGGATGCCCACCTGGAGGCAGCCACAAGACCTGTCCACCGCAGCCTGTGCAGTTCCAGTTGCCATTCTTGGATGGGGTCTTTTTTTCAGATGGAGCTTCAACGAAAGTCAAGTTCCAGTGGGGAACTAATTATGTCATGAATATTGTATTCAGATTCTGGACTCCTTATACCTTTTTCATCTCTTAACTGTTTCACTGATCTTGACTATTTTATTAGAAAAGTAGAAAGAGGAAGGGCAAGGAGATCTGACTCAGATTTGCTACTTTTCCACTCTGATTGCCATGAGAGATTAAGTGAGGCAGATGCTGAGGTGCTTCTTTCTGAAATGATAACTGACACTATTTGTGGATTTCATTTTTGTCTTGAGTCCTTTTTTTATTTGGCAAAATATATACAACATAAAATTTGCCATTTTAACCATTTTTAAATGTACAGTTTTAGTGGCATTCAGTATATTCACAATACTGTGAAACTCATCACCATCCAACTCCAAAATTACTTCATCTTCCCAAGCTGAAACTGTACCCACTAAACAGATTCCTTGAGTCTTGTGTCCTCTCTCTCCCTGATACACAGGCATATGGAAATGTTCTTTAGGTCACTGTCTAAAAGGAAAAATAACAAGTGCAATTGAGATATGAAATGCCCAAGCCAAAGAGACTAGACTCCTCACCCCACTCTTCCTGTGACTGTTTTGTGGAAAAACTGTATGGTGACTTTGGTTTTTCTTCCATTTCTTGGTCACTGACTTAGTGAGAACAACCTACAGGAAGATCTCTTTGACCAGATCTTGGCTGGGAAGCTGGAGTTCCCAGCCCCGTACTGGGATAACATCACGGACTCAGCAAAGGTACCATCTGGGTTTGTTCCTGTGGATTGCTTTTTGTCGAGGGGCCCTCCTCTGTTGCATGGGGCTGTTGCAGTTCTTGGTAGTGAGCTCCAGGTCTATCTTGACTTTTAATGTGTGTTTCTTCTTTAAGTTCATTCCACAGTATAGTCTCTGAAACTTTTTTTTAAAATTTTTAAGAAAATTAACATGATGCATTATTTGTTTCAGGGGTACAGGTCTGTGATTCATCGATCTTATATACATGCCCTCCTTAATGTCCATTCATCACCCAGCCACCTCACCCCTCCATTCCAGCAACCCTCAGTTTGTTTCCTGAGATTAAGAGTCTCTTATGGTTTGTCTCCCTCTCTGATTTCATCTTGTTTCATTTTTTCCTCCCTTCCCCTATGATCGTCTGTTTGGTTTCTTAAATTCCACATATCAGTGAGATCATATGATAATTATCTTGAAACTCTTAAGCGAATTCTGAAGGCCAGACTGGCTGTCTTCCCAGTTTGCCCCTGTCACCCTCCTGTGTTCCTCTAAACCCTAAACATTCGTTCTTTCATTTATTAAAAAATATATATTGGACACCCATCAGAATGTGAGAATGAGACATACCAACTTGCTAAGAGGAACGGTACTGTGGGTTTTAAACTGTGGAATGATGATAATAACCAGAACTCTTAGGAGGGAACATCTTGGTTTAATGTCAACCCAGGAGAGGCCTTCTCCTGTCTTGCGCTGCCGCTGCCCCGAGGCCACTGTGTCTGTGTAGCCACCTGGCAGGCAGCAGGCGTGGAGGGGATGGTAGCTTTGACGTTGAAATGGTTGAGCATCTGTGTTGGCTGGGTCTTTTGAAGTACGTGGGGCAAACTCAGATCTCTGTGTTTATGCTGGAATTCCCCACTTCGTCTCCTTTACGGTCTTCTTTTTCCAGGAACTAATCAGTCAGATGCTTCAGGTAAACGTCGAAGCTCGGTGTACTGCTGGAGAAATCCTGAGCCACCCCTGGGTGTCAGTAAGTACCCACGTTCGCAGGGAAGGAACACTTGTAAGTTCTGTAACCATCAGCATGCTTCCTCACCGTGGCTTTTGTACACACAGAGCTCTGCATCCACGTTCCATGGCAGGGGGACTGGCTTTCTCTCATGAGCAAGTAGTGTGCAGGTAGCTCTCTGCGAGAAAGCAGTTGGCATGAGGATCTCGGAGTATTTGACCTGGGCAAGTCACTGTCCCTTTCTGGCCCTCGCCTTCCTCAGCGGCAAAATGAAAGAGTTGGTCGGAATGCTCTCTCAGGAGCCTTTCACCTTTTGCCTTCTGTGCTTCTGGGGTTTGGGAGTTTTCAGGATTTGCCCAGGGATGAGTGTGTTTCAGACCCTGATCCCTATATCTTGATGGCATGTGATCACAGGAGAGTCACAGGAGACCTCCTGCTGTGGGTAGGGACGTTGAGACACAGTCCCTTCTGGAGCTGGGTGGAGGGGGCATGATGTCAAGCAGAGTTCTGGGCTTGGTGGTACCTCTGGGTTTAGGGGTAAATGTGATCCATTAAATGGTGCTGGTGGGAGAGTTTGCATTTCCCTTACTCTGAAGGCTCTGAGAGAGTGAGGTTAATGTACATAGCCAAGGACTCTGGCTAGCTTGTTGGGGAGGGGTGGTGCCCTGGGCCCCCCTCCACCATCTCTGTGATCCCAACATCCTGACATCGGGCTTTGGCCTCTCTGGATCTGGCCAAGTGACTTGGGTCTTAGCCCGAGTAGCTGAGATGCCACATTTCTTTATGAGCAATAAAGACTAACAAGTAACTGAATTCTTCATTAAAATAATAAACTCTTCATTAATTTTGATGTGTCCATGGGAGGGATCTGTACAAAATTCTATGGGATTTATGCCTTTTGTGGAGAGTCTCAGAAGCCTAAAGAGTGTCCTCCTGCGTGCTCTTGGGAGACTGGTGCTCCCTCCTCAGCCCATTGTAGGCTTAAGGAGCAGAGCAAATGGCCTGGGGTCTTTCTGAGGACAGAGGACTGCTACACAACAGTAATTATTTTTAAAAGGGCATTGTTCCCCTAACCCTGTGGTAAAGATGGGCCCTTTCAGGAAGAGATGGTGGGGTCGGGGTGACAATTAAGGAAAACACAACTTAGGCTTGAGAATCAGAAATCATTGTATGTGATTCTTTTCTTTTCTGTAGGATGATGCCTCCCAGGAGAATAATATGCAAGCAGAAGTAACAGGTAAACTCAAACAGCACTTTAATAACGCGCTCCCCAAACAGAACAGCACCACCACCGGGGTCTCGGTTATCATGGTAAGTGGAAGGCACCCTGTTCTGCTCTTGGAAAGCGGCAGTGTCTGGCCTGACTGCTCAGCAGACATTGAACCTTTAGAAGTGAATAGCCAAGGGCTTTCCCTCACATGGAAGTTGGCACCTTCCATGTTCCTCTTTTCGCTTCAAGACTGGCTTGGCACATGGAGTGCCCCCATCTGGCTGACTCCTGGGCCCGGAGTCCTGGGGGGAGGGGCTTGTGCAGGACTGGCCAGTTGGATGGGCCCGGGCGCCAAGGAGCCCCTGGCCTCTCCTCCCGGGCTTGGCGCCGTCCCTCGTGGCTGCTTCTGCTGTCATCTCTGTATCTCATCCGGGGAGGGGTTCCCAAGCCTGGGTGGGTTTACGGTCTCAAACAAACTCTGTGAGGTAGGAATTATTCTTTGGGACCTGGGATAAGAAACTGCTAAAGTTAAACAAATTCCTTTTAGAAGTCAGTGTTTTGTGGCTTTTAAAAGTACAGAACAATGTAAAAAAATATTACTTTTTTCCGGGTTAGATTTTAGAAGTCCGTAACAGTGATCCCCATATTTTTTCAGACCTTCCTTCTTTCAAAATGTTTTTAAGGCAATTTATCTAAATCCATAAACACAACTCAAAAGTGGCATGAAAGTAAGGGAAGTAACATTAAGGTACATTTAGTAAAAGGGAAAATAGAAAGAATAAAACCAAGCCAGGAGTGCAGTTAGCTCGCTGAACCAGGCCTGAGCCCTTGCTGAAGCCGGGCCTTAAAGCTGGCTGTGAGCATCTCCCCTGCTGTTTTGGCAGCAGGATACCGAGCCACCAACATGCAGGGCCGTGAGCTCTGTTCTGCCCATGCCCCTCACAGGATCAGGGCCAGAGTGTCAGCTGGGGTGGCTTCAGACTCAGACTCTCTAAGAGACAGGTGCCTGAGTTGTGAGCAGCTTGGCCACCCCTGACCACCTCGGGTGTTAGTGGTACCCCGGGCCAGCTGGGTACCTGATAGCCAGTGACGGGCCGGCACCATAGCTCCAGCTTTCTAACTCGGGACAAGCCTCTCACCCTCTGGAAAGGTTCAACTTGTTTTCTACCCGACTAGAAGGAAAGCAGTGGCTTATTCTCTGGCACATTGTAGTCTAGGAACGTTTGCCTAAGAAGATTCCGGGTCCAGACAGAAGCTGGAGGGAACATCCCCTCCCCCCCGACCCCCGCCCATGCTGTGAACAGAGAACACTGTGGAATGTTTGGTTGAGCTTCCACCACCTTAGCACTGCTAATGGTCTGTCATTCTGTCATTTCCGCCCCCCCCTCTCCCCGGGAGAGGCTGCATTGATGTGGCAGCCCTCTGGATGTCCTTGTAACTCCCTTATTCCTCCCCTGCTAGGGGGCTTCCCTCCCCCAGATAAGCCTGAGCTTGCAGACTGGGTCTCTTGACGTGTTGCAGGACATTGGGGTGCTCGGTGCCAAAGTAATGAGAAGGCCTCTTGAGTTGTGGTTTTCCTAGCATTTTAGCAGCGTTCTTCTGAAAGCCCAAGGAAGTCAGAGTTGTCACAGAATTACAGTTTAAACACTTTGAAAAGAACCATCTTGATTGACTCAACAGCCTGAGAACATTTCCAGGTGGTTCCCCTGTGAGAGCGAGCACTGATGGGAGGGATGGATGGCCAGTTACAGCCTGGCTGCATGCCACTGCAAAGCAGCTTCTGCAAAATTTAGAAAGAAATGAAACATTAAAAATTGGTACCCTTGACACATAATGAAAACCCTTAAGAAGAGTATTTTTTAGAATCAAAATTTAACCACTATGTTAATTAAGCTTCATAGTCTCCTAGAGGAAGGACCTTTACAGGACTGTGCCCAGGCTTAGGAGAGTTTTACCACCATTGTCTGGGTCATCTGTGGGCTCGGGGCCCACACAGGAGTCATGGTCCAAGACCTGTGGCCCACCAAGGCTCTGGAATGATCCAGCCCTTTCCCTTGCGGCCCAATGTAGGCTTCGTTCTGGATCATGATACTTAGAGCCTCTCAGAACCTATATCTTAGGGTTTACAAATGCTATTTTCCCACTTGCTGATGGAGATCAGTAGTCACATTTCAAACCCCTGAGCTTTAACTGGTTGTGTGAACAAACAACCCTTTATTATATTTGTAATTCCAGTGGTGACTGTTGAAGCTTCGTGTTGACATGTATGTTCAGTTGTCATTTTGAGCATGTTGGCAGGGTCCCATCTAACCTCATGTTCCCTACACAACTCTGCAGGTTGTTAGCTCTGAGGAACTGCTGAGTGGCATTATCACATTCAGTACCTACAGGAGAAATCAGTAAAGCTTGTCTCTGGAGGTACCAATTCTCAGTGGCCAAAAAGCTGGCCTGTGAATTTTGGGCTCATTCCCAAAAGCAGTGGCAAGAACGCCGCCATGGGGATGTCATGCTAACCCTCACCCAAGTGAGGACCTGGCCTGGGGCATGGTTGTGTGGGGGCAGCTTGCGATGCTTCCGTGTCGTCATCATCCCCTTCACCACCACTCTGTCTGTGTGTCCTGCCCTTGGGAACAGTTTTAAATGTGTTTTATATTAAAAATCATGAATCACGAAGGACTCTCCCTGGTATTCATACGTTCTCAGAACGAGAGTAGGTGAGGCTAACCTGGTTTCCTACAGACACGAACAGTCGTGGAAGTAGGGTATCCGTGTTGTAGGGTCGAGTCTTCAGGTGACTGCTGTGTAACTTCCAGTCAGAACGGACTGTCTGCCCTCACTCCTAGGCTTCCCTACGCCTCGGCGCCCTTCCGTGCCTGAGGCCCCTGTGGGCAATAATAGGGTAGGAATGTAAGTAACGGTGGGGAAAGAAAGTAAAGCTCATGCTATTGTCTGCATTTTATTTGACAGTTTGATTTGACAGTTTGAGAGACACTTCAGAGTTTCACTCTTTACCCAGTTGAGACTATGGGGAATCCTGAAGCAGAATTCTGGTATTCAACATGCTGTGCTTAATCAGAGCAACTTCTAATTCGCAGCCCCTCTTAAATCTGCATGCCTGTCTCAGACTTCTGGCACCGGCGTCCGGCTCTTAGCTCCTTACCGGCGCGGGGCTCCTGTACCTGCTGACAGCCTTTGCGGCCACCAAAACCCGCCCTTGGGAAACTTTAAAACTTTACAGCTTGCCACGTTGCCTGCCGTCCCAGACCAAGTGCTGGCGAGCGCCTAGGAGGAAGACCCTGATAGTTCTCCCGCTCAGTGCTATTTTTCACTTGGTGAAAAAGCACCTTTTCGTGAACAGCAGCATAGGACAAGTACCTCTGCGAAGGCTTTTATTCTGTTTCTCAGACTACATTTCCAAAGATGCCTTTTTATCTGTAAGACAGGTGTGGAGCCTTTGGGGTAAGACAAGAGATTTCTATTGGATGAGGTTTTGGTTTAAGACAGGCCTGTGGTTTTGAATAGCACGGGCATTTTCTTTGACTTATCCTCAGTATACTTACAGGACAGTGCCTTTGCAGGGCAGGCTCCTGGTTTTTCCCCGGGGGGCTCATCCCAGCCTCGGGGACAGGACGAGGCGAGGCCATCTTGTGGCAGAAAAGGGAATTCTAAGAAACCCCGCTCACGCCGCAGTTGGTAGCCAACTTGAGAAACGATGAATTCACATGGAGTGCTCTCCCCGCTCAGGGGGATGACGTTTCTTTCAGGGGGAAATTTGGGAATGATTTGGGCCTAATTAAAGATAGACAAAACCGTCTCAATCGTGTTGCTTCTGTTTGAAGTAAGTCTAGTTTCTGTCCCCGCTTCTCTCCTCCCTCCTGCCTTTCCCGCCGCCTGCATCTTCCCTCTGACTAGGTCCAAGGCAATGGTATGTACTAACTGCACTGCACTGCTTTGTTCTGCTGCACACACACATGGTCTCTGGACAGGAAGAGAAAAGGAGAAATAACTGGGGAGTTGTTTTAGGGAGTTTGTGGTAGGGAAAAAAGCGAATGCTGCCTCTCTCCATGTTCAGTGTTTTCACTGAGGCGCGGCCCCGGCCTCCTCTCCTACGAGGAGCTTGGAAGCTTGTTAAGGAGCAATGCTAAGTTTCTGATTTGGCTTTTCCACAGTGACCTACCCTCCAGGTAATTGCAATTGTCCTTGGAAAGTACTGACTGTTCAGCTTGAGCTCGGAAGGGCCTGTGGAGAAGGCCTGCGTCACAGCTGACACCGAGGGCCCTGAAGGCAGCCACGCAGGCCCATTGTAGAAGGCCCTGTTGTTTGTTCCTGTCTCCTCCATACTTTGTAGAGTATTACCTTCCCCCCCAGGGTAGTTAGATGTTAGATGACAAACACCTCCTGATCGTTGTGCCTTTTTAGCTCAAGGTGCCTGAGACCTGAAAGCACCTTTGGAAACCCAGTAAGATGACAGCAGGCCGGGCTTCACTGGAGAAGCAAGAAAGGTTCAGACTGAGGCAGAGGAAGACTAAGTCTCACCTCCCTGTCTGAGGTCAGAAAAGCAAGGCGATTTCTTCATGTTTGTGGCCATTTCTGTACTCCTTGAGGAGTTGAGCTGAGTAGAAACTTTGGGCATGGGGCGCCTGGCTGGCTCAGCTGCGGAGTATGCAACTCTTGATTTCAGGGTTGTGAGTTCAAGCCCCATGTTGGGCATGGAGCTCACTTTTAAAAAACAAAACAAACTTGGGGGCTGTTAACAAGATAAAACTGCCCGGGAAGAGAAGAAGAGCAGGTCAGGTGATCATGGAGGATCTAAAAATGGGTAATGGTGCACCATCAGATTGCGGCCTTTTATAGATGATGCAGCCACTTGGGTTGTAAGGGGATTACTTATATGACACTCAAGTCACTTTTCAACCTGTGAGGAAGAATTTGCCTTAGAAAAGCTAACTGTCAGAGCCTTAGCATTCTCCCAGGGCTTGCTTATTGTCCCAGGATTCTTCTGGGCTCAAGATCTGGGCATGGGAAGAAGCACTCAGAACTCAGGCCAGCTCAGAGCCAGACAAGAATGGCCTGAGGCTGCCATCCAGGGCCGCCTGACGCTGAGCGAGGAGCCGAGACCAAGCGTGGCTGACTGCCCAGGGAGGGGTGTCCTCAGCCATTGCTCTTCTCTCGGGCTTCTATTGGAAGAGAAGCTCAATGTTATTTCTCCTCTTCTGTTTCCGAGTCCTGTGCATGCTCTCGTGCGCTCCTGTCGTGGTAGCTCTGACCCAAGCCTAGGCTGGGCTAACGTGCTGTCTCCACTGCTTTCTCCTCAGAACACGGCTCTAGATAAGGAGGGGCAGATTTTCTGCAGCAAGCACTGTCAGGACAGCAGCCGACCTGGGATGGAGCTGACCTCTCCAGTCCCTCCCTCAGCCGAGGAGCCCCCCGTGTCCGCGCCGGCAGCCCCGGCCCCCGCCCCTCTGGAATCGCCCACAAGCCCTTGTCCCCCCGCTGCCGCCAGCTGCGAGCGGGCAGGGACCTGGCGCCGCCACCGTGACTGAGCCCCAGGCCGACGGGCTGGAGCCGGCCGCACTGCTGGGAAGCCCCTCTTCTGCCCGGGCCTGCCGCACAGTCCCCTCACTGAAGAGCCTTTCTCCGCTGCCTGCCATTGGGAAGTTTGCTGGCACCCGCGAGGGCCGCCAGGAGCCGGGAGCTCTGTGCCAGGGGTTTGCTTCTTTTCGTACTCTGGGCTCTGCCCTCTGGTTCCTGGAGGGTCCTATGCAGTGTTAGCCTTGGTGACAGAGTGGCTCATTTTAAATTATTTGTCTTCGGTTCATTTTACAGTGTCACCAGGAGAATGTGCAACTTTTATCTGGGATTTAATGCATTTTTATAGAAACACTTTGGATGAATCAAGATCTCTCCCCTATTTAAGTAAACTCGGAGTATTCCTTTTTTTCTTACGAAGAACTTAGAACTGCATTTGTCCCTTTGTGGGTGTCCTGTGAGAGGTGGTACAGCACCTTCCTCTGCTGTTGGGGTTTGGAGGACTGGCTTTCTGATGGGAGAAATGAGCACCCAAGAGGACAGTCTGGTCATCGGACACTAATTCCAGACTTTGAGAAGTGCTTCCCGGTGCCTGAGGAAGCAGCCCACCATATAGCTTGGGGTGCTGGGTTTACCTAAGATGACACTGGATATTTATTTGTACACAGACCCCAGGGGAATGTCACCTTGCTCCCTAGACATTGTGTGTTCTCCCCCCCTCCAACTCTTCCCCCGTGTGTATTAGGAAATGCTAACGAAGTCGTCCTTTGGGCTTTTTCATGAAAGGCTTGGCGCATGCAGCATCACCCGGGCCACGGCGGCTTCTTCTCAGCAGGCCAGCTTCCAGCAGAGCAGGAAAAACTAGGCATCTGAGCAGCCACCAGACTCTTGTCATCTACTTGCCGTCTGGAGCTGGCGGGAAACACCCGAGGAAACATGGGCCGAAGCACAGTCAGGACTGGGGCGGGAAGGTGCTCCGCAAACATCCTCTGTCATTAACTTTCTGGAAGGCTGCTGGCAGTTTTTCCTTTTTCCCCTCACTACCCTGCCCTTTTTAATAGTTGTACATAGTCGGTAGATTTGTTTTACCTGCTCATCTTCTAAACTGGTGGGCCCTGTAGTTCATTCTCATTGTTAGACTTTTGCCTCTTACAAGTGTACCCAACCTGCAATAAATCCTTCTTGAGAAAAAAGCGATGGGGGTGGGCAGAGGATTGTGTGGTGGTGTTTTGCGGGGTATGTGTGATCAAAGCACACCTCCTTGCCCCAGTCTGGCAGGTGTATCCGTGTCTTTTTATGAAGTTTTGGGTGAGGAGGGGGAAGAGAGAGTGATGCTTGGGAAGCACACACGCAAATGCATCTTGGTCCAAGTGTATTTGGTAACAGGTGCAGAAACCCACAACGAAAGCTCAGAATAAAAAGGAGTTATTAGCGTACAGCAGAGGAATCCTGGGGAGCCAGGCTTTATAGAAAATGGGGAGTCAGGGCAGCCATTCCCCTGCCTCCCGTCACTGTCTGTGACTCAGAGGCTGGGCCGTCTCCTGTCTGCTGGGTGCATCTCGGCTCCCTGTGTGTGTTCTCTCCTCACGCCTGCTCGCTGGCAGCACTCGTGTAGCCTGGTGCCGCTTCTGTGCCCAGCTTCCCAAGGCTGTCCGACGACAGGCCTCGAGACCATCTACTTCAGCTCTGGATTCCTTCATTCACACTGCTGAAGGAGTGAGGCCATCTGCCTGGCCCCAGCCACGCAGTCATTTCTCCCCGGGCTGGTGCTGGCTCACGATTCGATTCTGGAGGCCGGTTACAAAACGCAGATGGGCTTTCCGGGCCCACAGCTGCAGCAGGTACAGGCCTCAGGAGGAGGGCAGTTTCCAAAAAGCTGTGATGTACAGGTCTAGACCCTTCTGCATGTCTCTGTCCTCACTGAGGAGTTAAAGAGCAAGCCTTTTCACGGCTTCCGATGGAAATATTTTTGTTACTGGCGCGGGAAGAGCTTGTGTAAAGGAAAGAGGAGAACACGGAAGTAGGGATGGAGCACGGCCTCTGGCAGTGATCACAGTCTGAAACCTGAGCCCCTCCCTGGGACTGACGTCCAAAGGCATTTGCTGACAACTTAAGAACGTAAGTGCCAGGGCAGCCGGTCACAGCTGATAAGACGAAGGAGCATCTTGTGTCCAGCACGTGCTCCCGCCCCCTGTGACCCCTCACGTGGCCTGGGACTTGGTGGGGGAGGATGGCCTGCAGATGGGACGTGGTATGAGCAGGTGTGACAGCACGGCCTAGCAGTCCTTCTGGGACTGTCTTAATCCCACAGATACCTCGAGTGATGTGTGCTGGTAAAGGAGCAAACCAGGCGGTTGGTGGCACAACCCAAGTCACAGGACTGGCGGAAGTCAGTCACCATGCCGCTTTAGGTTCTTCCATCTCCAAAGCGGTGCTCTTTGGAGGTACCCTGTACCCTCAGGGGGTGCAAATCAAGGCCTGGATGTGAGTGGTCATCTAAGTAACGAGCCTTAGTAAAGGCTCTGACTCCACAGGTAAGTTGTTCATTTGCCCATGTGTTTAGAAAACATTCGTTGAGCTCTCTTCTGTTCTCAGAATCCAGATTAAACACAGGTATGTAATTGCTAGGTTCCTCCACTCCTGCACGCTGAGAGTGGCATGTCCTTGTTGGACGTTCATTGCCTTACTCCAGCAGAGGATCTGCGTCTACGGAAACTGGTCTTTGAAGGGGCAGAAAAAGGGGAGTGGCGGCCTGCTGAAACCATCGTGGGGTGCTTGCCAGGCTCAGCGCCTGGGCCACGAGTCAGGGCGGGTGTCTCTCTTTTTTCAAAAAGCTTGCCGTGATATGGAAATACGTGAAATATATGGATTGAAAACATTTGGCAAAACTTCCCCCCGAATATTTTCATGGATATGACTGTGAAATGTGAATTTGAAAAGAGGACAGTTCAGCACAGACCATATAGAAAGAGAAAGGGTGCCAACCAACGGTGTTGAGGAGAAAGACTTCTAGAGCAGCATGCCGCCCCTGGAAACGCGGAGTCAGCCACCGAAGCTGACGTTTTCTGGGGCCACATTAAAAAGGAATGGGTGAAATTCATTTTGTAGTAGATTTGATTTAACCCAGTGTCTCTACGGTATTATTTGAACATGCAACCAATGTAAACAAAATCTTGGACATACTCTTTTTTTAATCCTTGAAATCAAGGGTGCGTTGACATTTACAGCACATCTCGGTTTGGGATAGCATGTCTTGAGTGCTCGGAGCCCACACGGCTGTGCCAGCCACACCGGCCACTGCAGCTCCAAACAAAAGCCACGGCTCTTGGTCTTTGTTCCTCTTCTTTTTCTGTTTTGTTGTGCATATGATGTGAATGACGATGTAGGAAGAATGCTGATCTCGGCTTTACATGGGATGGGCTGATTTAAAATGACTCAGCGGGTTAAAACCCTGATCCAGACCCACGGCATGAAATCAGAGTGTGAAGGCTGCAGTCCTGCCCCCCACGGCCTCGACATGTGCCAGCTCGTGGGAGAGATCGGGGCGTGGGGAACTGCAGTGGTCACCGTTCAGGAGGTGCCCCCTGAGCTGCTTGGATGTTAGTGTGATCTTACACTGTGCCAGGACAAGTACGTGTGGACCGTGCACTGTGGAAGCTGAGCCCTCCCACCGGGGCAGGTCTGTTCTGAAGGCCTTGTGTGTGGTGCGCACAAGGCGACGCTCACCCGAGGGAAGGCAGCCAGGGTGTGCGGGGCTATGAAGCCCGGGCAGCCAAGGACTAGTGGGAGACACCGTAAGCACTAGGGGAAACGAGAGGCACATGTGCTAGATGTCTTTGGCTGTATAAAGACCTGTTCCATAGCAGCAGGTGTAGACTCATCTTAGACTTACTCTGGATGGTGGTCCGAGGTTAGTAGGTAGAAGGCACAAAGGGTCAGATGCATGTGGAGTCTGAGACTCTAATCAAAGGGCAGCCCAGTGACTGAATTAGCTGCTTTCTGAAGGAGTGAAAGTCTAGTCTTTGGAAATGCTTAGCTGCTGAAGAATAACCACTGCAGAAGTTTACAGAGTACTTCATCCTGTATCATTTGAGCCATTAATGTCCACATTCCGTAAACAAGAAAACTCAGAAGGATCAGGAGCTCATCCAGACGTACTGGAGCTGGAATTTGCTCCTCCCGGTTCCCAGGGAGGCTCTCCTTATAAGTAGGCTGTCCTCTAGGTGGTCAGAGATGCTTTAGATGGGATGTCTGTGTCACAGGCAGAGGGGGGATGGGATGGTGGAGAAACCTGACAGAGTGGTAGAAAACTGGGGCTTGGGGCCTGAGAGGTTATGGGGGCTGTGGGGTGGGGCCGGGGAGGGGTTGTTAGATGAGGAGAGTAGTTTCTCCAGAAGGAGGCTGATGTGTGCATCTTAGCTTAGTCTTGGCCAGTGGATTAGAAGGGGGCCAACTTATGATAAAGCCTGCAGCCTTGAACTCAAAGGCAGTTAGCTGTGGGAGGGCACTGCCCTCACTGAACAGCTGAGGGGAAGAAAAGGGTATATCTGGTGCGCAGACAGCCATTTGCTTCTGCCCCGCCCTTTCCCCATCCCCCGTCATTAGGGGCGGTGTGGTCAGGATCGTTTCAACCCAGTGGGCTGAGTTTGGTGATTTGTGAGGGTTGGGCGCCTGTCCTTGCGGAGGATGAAGTCGGGTCTGGTGAATGTCTTTCAAGTTGTCCAAGTTCAAAGCTGCAAAGCAGCCAGTTGCTTCCTGCCAGGTATGAGGAAATAACAGTCAGCCTAGCCCCGCCCCCCCCCCGCCAACCTTTGGTTTTGGCAAGGAAAAGTATTCCTGAACTTGAGACAGGAAAGTAATTCACTTCATGTTTCTGGCATATGACTGCTGAGGTCTCAGAGTTCATAGGAACATTTGTGCATTGCCTTCTTCCCTCGCTGGAGAGCCTGTCTTTGGAAGACAGCTTGCCTAAAGGCCAAACCACACTCACTTTCATTAGAAAAACGTGATGTCC